GTCCCGACCTTGCCCGAACCCCAAAGTTGAGAAGCTTCGCATGGGAGAACCGAAACTTCAAGCAGTACAGACACCCGTAAGTCACAGCTTCGGGACCAGGCTACCAGGGTTTGGAGTTTAGGCAAGACCATGCAAAACTTACAGCGGGAGCTACCTGTGAGAGGAACAACAGCATCTATTAGCAATACTAGGTTCCGACAAGAACTGGAAACCCAAACCTTTGACAGTCTGACAGCCTTAGACGAGAGAGGTGCCACCAGGGTTTGGCGCTTAGGGCCGCCCCAAGCCTACTTCGCCACTGCCGCAAGGAAACCACATGCTAAGCTTTCGGAATTCTCCTTTTCGAGGCCCGGGCTTAATTAGATGTTCAGAATAAAGCTCCTATATGAAAAGCCAATGAGAGAAAAGTTTCGCTTTGCTTAGCACGCTTTGCTTAGCGCGAAGTGATTGACTGAGATCCAAAAGCCTACTGATAAGATTCCAACCCCTTTAAAACCCTAATTATGGTAGTGATCCTACGGCCCTGTACCCCTAAACTCTAGACAACCAAAACCGAAAATCTATAAGAACACGAATAAAGGCTCGAAAACCCTTAAGCCCTCAACTCTACCCTGAGCCCTAGGCGACTGGCAATCCGGCCTTCTGAACCGTTGCATCTCTCTGAGCAGAAGGGCGACACAAGAACGAGACGAAAACCACAGAACCGACTTCAGCCTACCTAGCCATTGAAGAACGATGAAGTAGGGTGAATCGTCTATGGTCTAGGGTTTCCGAACGAAACATCTGTTTTATGTTTGCGTTGCTTGCAGAGGCTTGCGTGTTGGATGTAGGCATAAAGTCAAGAGGGTTTCAAGGTGTGCGGCTTCAGAGGTCTCAGCAAGGCACCTATTTTTTCTACCTACCAACATTCGAGCAGGTTGCAACTGTAGGCCCCTTAGCTTCAGACCCTAAGCCTAAGGGTTCATGTACCTGAATAGTCTATACGTTGGCCTTAAAGTAGTCTGTGTTTGGGTACTCTGGGGCCAAACTATCTACTATATGGGTACATGGACCCTTAGGGCAAGCCTGAAGCAACTCTACGACTTTGATGTGGCCCTTCCGCATTCAAATGAAGAATTGCTTTCAATCCACCGCATGCTTCGCATGCCATGCACAGAACACGACCTTAGCCATGCCTGGTTGGGCATATCTCGATTTATGCAGGCTTGCAGCCGCTGGGGGAAAGGTTCACGAAGAATGGACGGTCCTCATCCTAGATGGATGTTGACACAGTCGTCATCCTCGGCTAAGTGTGGGAAAGAACAAGTTCGACTCCAAGGCTCCGGTTTGCCACGTGCACGCATAGTGTTTCGGCCTTCATGATTGTAGAGGTTTTGGGGGTGCGTGTGTGTAATGATATGAACACCCTAGACACTAAACCTACCTACCTAGCTACCCCCCTACCTACCTACCTACCTACCTACCTACCTACCTACCTACCTACCTGCCGACCTACCTACCTACCTATACCTACCTACCTACCTACCTACCTACCTGCCTGCCTGCCTACCTACCTACCTACCTACCTACCTACCTACCTACCTACCTACCTACCTACCTAACTGCCTACCTCCCTCACTACCTCTCTACCTACATGCATTCGTGGAATCGTCGGTTTGTCGATCTGCAAATATCTATATGTGCATCCGTGCAAATGAATAACATATTTGGGTACACGCGCAGAGGTCTATACACACAGGAATACACATATAGATGTACTTTAAAGTATGTACATATGTACATATATATATATATAGATACACATACACACACACACACACCACCTGCGGTGCCCAGCCCTGAAAGCCAAACCCTCAGGGTCCTGAACCCTTTTCAATTTTCTGAAATTCTCAGACCTGCTCGGCAACCTTCGAGTTAGACGTCAAAGAGGAAGCCCTGTAACTTCTATGCAGAATTCCTAACGGCCCTAGCCCGACACACGAAACACGTTGGCACATGCTCAGAACTCGCATGTTGTACGATCCTACGTGTAAAGCCCTTGTTGGTTTCCGGGCCCCCTTTCAACTTTCTGCAATGCTATCTTACCGAAAGCCTGAAGCCTAAACCCCAAACGCCATATTCTTAGTCAGTTGTTCAGTTCCGCAGAAATTTCTGAGACATGCCCCATTTCACCGAATTCTTAAAGTGGGCAAGCATGGGCTTGCCACATATGTCTCTAGGTGGCCGTCCTCTGCAGGATGTAGTGTGAGTCTCAGTCCGCCTTTGGCTGCTGTGGTTGATGGTTCAAGGTTGTGGCGTTAGGGCCGACGGTTTAGGGTTTCGGTGTAGGGTTTAAGCCTGGGGGCTTTTGTTGAATTTAGGGGTCAAGCATTTGTGTTGTGTTTGTTAGGAGCAACATCGAAAGACTCGAGGCAAGACTTTCAGACAAGACATGCAAGGTTTCAGCGGACAGCAACACTAGCATTCCGGGGTGCAGGGTCTGTCCTGAACAACAACTTGTAAGCGTCCACCCATGTGTAGGGTTTGGGGTGTATTCTGGGATAACTATAGCATGGCACCCTAAGGAATAACCTGCTGCTCTCGTCTTTTATCTCAGCTCTTCCTTCTTTCATGCGAGATAGAGAACTTGGGTTTCAAGGAAGATTCAACCCCTTATCCCAAGCGCCGAGCCTGATCTTAATGCCTTGAAAAGCAAAAATGCTGCAGCAAAGCAGACCCCCAAACTGAGACTCACGAACGACTAACACAAACCATCATACACCAGGAAGCCCCCCCCCTGTATCCAGCCATCATGGAAACCTTCCCGTCTGCGTAAATCGCTAGATGCGCATATATCAAACGCCTGTAACTACAAGTCTTGTAAGGCACAAGAGACAACCGTCCCTATTGAAAATCATTAGCTCGAGATTTCACCTGTCTCTTTCGGGTGAAAAAGTGTTCAATTCTCACCGCATTCTTAATCGGCGCTTCTAGATGCTCGCACAACTTTATGAAACTTCAAACACTTAAAAACACAAATCGAGATTTCCTGTCCTCCGCCTCCAGTGTAAATGTTTATGCCACTTTCAACAAACGCTTATTTAGTAATTAAGAAATATGAGATGAAAGTCAGTGATACTACAAATTGAAAGGTTTGCATACCATAAACCCAAGCCGCTCTAAATTTATAGTTCTCCTAGAAACATGCCGTTGAAACAAAATATCATCATGAAATCGAGTAGTTTCGAACCTGTTCGGATTTTCCCGGACGCTTCCAAACATGGAGATTCACGAGACAAACCGTTCGTGGCTAAAGATTTCGTACTCCCCCCTCACCCAAGATAGCATGAACACCCGCATAAATGCAATCGTATCATGTTACAAGAAGCCTAGGCTGACAGCTTGGTGTTGGAGAACTTTGAAGACTTTAGGGTCAAAGGCGCATAGTAACTAGATGTCAGTAGGGTTGTAGCTGGCGTGACTATGCTTCGCGTTGATTCTAGCCCTAATCATGCTTCCTAAGCCTCCTGTTCCTCTACGCAGGCTGCATAGTAACCCTAAGTCGTTACAGTTTAGGGTTTAGACCTTGGCTGTTAAGGGGTTTAGGACTTAGGGTAAATCCTGAATGTATGGAATCCCCGAAAAGCGCGGAATTGCCTGGAGCCCTCTGTCGGCCTTGCCCACACTGAATTATCTCTAAACTCCCCGAACACCAAGCACAACCAGGTGCCCTCAATTACGCGCTTCATCGCGTTTTTATAGCAGTTAAACCCTAAACTCCGTTTCTGAATCCCCAAACCCTCAACACCAACACCTACACCCTGAACTGGCCCTAGTTCAACCCTAAACTGCGGGCTCTTGAAGGAGCAGTCCGTCACGGTTTTGGGTTTGGGGCTTTGGGTTTGGGTTTGGGTTTAGGGTTTAGGGTTTAGGGTTGTTTAGGGTTTGGGGCGCCGTTGCCTGAAACGTCGCTGCTGTCGCAAATTGCGCGACTTGCCAAAACCTGCGATGAGGGTTGGCAAACCCAAAGGGTCCTATGTACTGTCGTGGGGGATACCTGTGTAAATCGTACTAGTAATTGCTAATATAGAGAAACCCTACAGTCTACTATATAAATCCAAAGGACCCCTTGGGAAAACAAAACGAGTGCCTTTGTCTTTTGGGAATGCGGCGGGGCAAGAGACCACATTCCGGTGTGTGCCCACGCTACGACCCTTATCCACTAGAGCCAACAACAAGGGCGGGCCATCCTTACTTCCAGAAAACAAAGAGATGCAAGCTCGCACCTTCAGCACGATACTAACAGATGAGGAGCGACAAAGGTTAACACTGGGGCGTTGGAGAACCCTAAATCCTAAACCTTGCAGCCTCAGGGGTATACGAACACACATCAACGCATCGCTTGGGACTTTCTCGGACAAACCACGAACCCTCAGCTCCTCTATAGTTAAGGGCCCCTTCCTGAACCCATAACCTTAAGCCCTAAAGCCTGAACTTATAAACCCTAAATCCTAAACCCACATCCCTGAATTGCTAAACCCAGAACCTAAGGTTTTTTGAGACTACCATCTGTCACGGACTGTGGAGCATCTCAGAACCTGATGCAGTCTAGGGTTCAAGGGTTGAGGGGCTTGTGGGTTTCGGGTTCAGGCTTTACGGTTTTAGGGCTTGGGTTTAGGGTTTAGGGTTTAGGGTTTAGGGTTTAGGGTTTAGGGTTTAGGGTTTAGGGTTTAGGGTTTAGGGTTTAGGATCTTGTGGGCTTCCGCTTTAGAGTTCCCATAGCCGCCTTGGGTCAGAGACCCTCGCCCCCAACTACAGCAGCATAACAGCTAGCATCCGAACAAGAAGCACGAGTACACCCAGCCCTTGAACCCCAAATAAGCCCGAAATCCCCGAAACCTTGAACCTCGACACAAACCCTAACCCTCCACCCCCACTTTCAAGAAAGCCCTAAACCCTAAACCCTAAACCCTAACGTGAAATGGAGGCAAGATCGGACTTGCCTTGCCACCTCTTAGGGCTCACTGGGCCTCCAGAAGGCGGGTATCGGAACTCCTTCGCCACGAGTTTCGTCTTCGAAGGGTAGCAGGGTTTAGGGTTTAGGGTTTAGGGTTCCCTTAAAGCTTCAAGAAAACTTAGGGTTCTCGGCTTCTGGGGTACCCTAATCCCTAGACTTTGCACTCCTAGACCCTAAAACCTCAAGCCCGAACTCTAAACCTTAAGTCCTGAAGCCCTAAACCCCTAAACGCCTAACCCTAAACCCTAAACACGGTTTAGGGTCTAGGGCTTAGGGTAAGACCTTCAGCCCTGAAGCCAGAAGGCCTTAAACCCCTCAGGCTTCATAGGTTTCCAGGAACCTGGCGGCTCTGCAAGTTCGTGTCTTATAGCAGAGGGCCTCGAATAGGACAAGGTTCCTTCAAGGGGTCCTTCAAGAGGCTTCTATAAGGGTTACTGTGAGGGTTCTAAAACCGGGGCCTTGAAACTAATTTGGATTTGGTGTATATTATACACGACTTAGACATCTAGCTCCTCGGGGTCTAAATGTCTGCAGAAGCTACCAAGATTGGGCTTCTTGACATCTTTGGGTCCGGTGGGCTTGCCACTTTGGGCTTTTGGGATGACTTTTTTTGGCCTTACTAAACCCTAAACCTTGAGGTTTCGGAGGCTGGGTCTTGTCATGCGGCTTGGAGGTCCCAGGCCATAGGCATAGCTTTGCATTGGGAAAGGCGATGGGCAAAAACATGATGTAGGGGCCTTAATTGGATTAGGCCTTTGGGGCCCATTAGACTACAATTAGAAGAAGGTACCCACCAAAATACTACTGGTAACTTCTTAGGTCACTATATGAAGAGTTGAGCTCCATGCTTCAACCTTGTAATGGAGACCTCCCGGCATGAGAAGATAGTGTGTTTCGGTGCGTCTTGTCGTGTACTCATAAAGGGAGCTTCAGGGATAGGATACTGTATTAATATACTATATTAATATTCAGAGCTATCAGAGCTACCTAAAAACTAAACCCTATAAACCTAACTTTTACGCTTACATGTAAGGCGGTCTCATGCCGGTGACTATCAGAACCCTGTATTCTTGCTTTGGGGGTGTTGGTTTTCGATCCAGGATGTTCTGGCCGAAGCTGGGTATTCCGATGCAAGTCCGCCGCTCGGGTTTGCAGGGCTTCAATAAATGTCCGTTCCCTAAGCCCTAAACCCCTAAACCCTGGATCCCTAAACCCTAAACCCTAAACCCTAAACCCCTAAACCCTGGATCCCTAAACCGTTCAACTTATGTCAACTAAACGGAGCTGGTCTAACTCTCGCATCTCAGAATAAATTCTGAGGTCCGGGTCGAGCGACTGCTCCGACCCAGTGCTTCTATGGGAGTTTCCGAACATTAGGGTACCTTATTTGGGGGCCCTTATAATAAGGATCCTATTATTTAGGGTACCATATTAGGGTCCCTATTGTCGGAAACCCCCATATTACTAGTCTCCCAACAGTAACTAACAGCCAAAAAATATACACTCACCCAAATTCATGAGCAGGCTCATATACTTACATACACTGACGAAAACTCGCAAGTCGTAAGATAAGCTCTGCTTCATATGACTGTGAGCTCTTCTCCTTTTTCTGTATCATCGCCCCCTCCAGCGGTGTCGGGTTAGGAATTTTCCCGTTGCCCGTCCAGACCCCAAACCTGAGAAGAGGCACGACGAACCCCAAACCTAAACCCTAAACCCCAAACCCTAAATCCTTGAACCCCTACATCCCAAACCTAAACCCTTAACCCCAAATACTTAAACTCCTTCATCACATCCCAACCCCCCCCCCCTTTCGATCTTGAACGCTCAAAACTTAACGTGGCCCTAAACCCCGAACCCCCAGGTTGAGAGTTTAGGGGTTTATAGTTTCGGGTTTTTTAGTTTAAGGGCTTGGGGTTAAGGGCTTGGGGCTTTAGGGTTTTAGGGTTTAGAGGTTTTTAGTTTAAGGGTTTAGGGTTAAGGGCTTGGGGCTTTAGGGTTGTAGGGTTTAGGCAAGACCTTCATCCCCAACGCCCTCCCTTCGGAGAAGGCCTTGATTTCGCCTCGGCACCGGGGCCGCTGGCAGGCACCTTATCGTTCTACCCATAAACAGATTTGAGCTAACCCCGAAAGAGCCTGCAACCTAGGCCCCGAAAACCCAAACCCTAGGCCCAGCATTAAACAAAGTCCCTAAACCCTAAACCCT